CCTAACCCTCCCAAAAAAATTGGATAGAAGAAAACCAGAGGTTATATCTGCATTACAATGAGACAGCTATTTTTAAAATTAGAGTAGCAGTTATTGAAATGATTTCTTCTTGAGAAAAAAGTTGATGTGCGGCATGTCTGACCTCTGCTGCGTGCATGAGGGCCAGGTACGGGTGTAAGGGAGAAGGGACTGGAGTTAAGGGAGGCCACCACTTAGCACCGAGAGAGCGAGGGCTCCAGCCTAATGCAGGAGAGAGCCAGAAGGCACTGTGTACTGGATATTTTAGAATTTGCTTTTAGCATTTGTCTCTCTGTCTGTCTGTCTGTCTTTCTCTGTGTGTGTGCTCACAGGTGTGGGTTATGGCTCGTGTGAAGGTCAGAGGACAGCCTCAGGTATTTACGGATAGGAAGACACCTTCCACCTGAGCTGCATAGGCCAGTCCAGCCGTCCAGGGGGCTTCTAGAAATCCACTTGTCTCCTCTGCCACTGTCCTTGAGATTACAGATCTGTGCCACTGTGTCCAGCTTTTATGTGGGTCCTGGGGATCTGAACTCACACCCTCACTCTGTCAACTGAACTGTCTGCCAGCCTGTGTTTATTTTATTAAGTTGGAAATACACTTTCCCAGAGCTGCTATTAGTCATGCAAACAGAACACTCACCCCATCGAAAGCTCATAGGCCTTCTAAAGGTAAGCTGTACCTCAAGCACTGGTGCTGGCCCCTGTCGAAGGTCCCTTCTCCGTTCTGTCTGCTCTAAGGAAGACTTGAAAGGTTCGAGGAGAGATCTCCAAGGCCAGGACAAGATAGGCCCAGGCCAGGCATGTGATCCTGAGCAAGCGTCATGGCTTGAAGCAGCGTTGGGGGTTCCCTTTGAGGGTTCCCTGCTGGTGATGTGTGTAGATAGCTAAGAAATAAGTCCCAAGCATTCCCCTCTGGTGTGCACTGAGCAGACCGGATGCACGATTATCACCTTGATCTGTTGTCCTTCCCTAAGTTAGGGTTTTATGGCTGTGAAGAGAGGTACCATGACCCTGGCAGTTCTTATATAAAAAAAAACATCTAATTGGGGCTACCTTACAGGTCAGAGGTTTAGTCCATTCACATGGTGGGAAGCATGGCAGCACGCAGGCAGATATGGTGATACAGCGGTAGCTGAGAATTCTACATCCAGGTCATCAGGCAGCAGAAAGGGACTGAGATACATTGGGCCTGGCTTGAGCTTCTGAAACCTCAAAGCTTACCCCTGGTGACACACTTTCTCCCACAAAGCCACACCGGCTCCAACAACAAAGCCACATCTCTTAACGGTGCAATCCCTGTGAGCTTATGAGGGCCATTTTCATTCAAACCATCATCGACAGCGTGGGGGCCCCACGGATGTAAGAAGCTTAAAGGAGTGTCAGTGATACAGAGGCTGTGGAGATACCCTCTTTTCCCCACCTGAGAGTCAGACGTTAGGCTGAAAAGACACAGGAGCAGATTTGAGACCCTGAACAGAGGGACTGTGGGAGTGGGACTGAGATGGGAAGGTCCCAGGGGGTCCATGTCCCCCCCCCCCACACCTCCGAGTTGAGGAGTCTCTGAACCTGCTTATGTGTGCCCAGGATCCTAGTATTTAGATAGGCCTCGGTAGGGAGGGTGTTCAGGGGAACAGTGTGTTATGGTTTCTGAAGTTAAAGGGGGTGCAGGACTGGGCTGGAGCACCTGTGTGGTCTCTTCTGTTGTCCTGTTACTGTGACTGTGTAGGCTTCTGGGCTGTGAGCAGGTCTGACAGCCGCTCCTGTTACCCAGCAGACCTCACTCTCACCATCCGAAGGATCGAATTGCTTATCAGTGACTTGATGAGATACAGGACGGCTGTTTAGAACTCCTGTGTCCTATTTCTGTAAACCGCCCATTTCCTGCTGTGTCAGATGTTACCTGAGGTGATGTTGCTTAGGGTGGTTTTCACTAACGAGCCTCAATTTCTAATGATCAACTTTGTTCCAAACTAGACAAAGGTAGCTGTAGTCGCTATGACCCCAGAATGCTGTGTAGTAACAGATCAGAGATGGTTCCAATGTTAACTCCGGCCCCAGCACAGAACACGACTTAATTGGGAAAGCCCCATTTCTGATATCTGAGCGAAGAGATTTTTTGATATCTGAATGGAAGAGAACTTTTGTACTTTCCCAACGTTACCATCAATAATTGGGATCTGCATTTTCTCCTTTATTTATCCAATAAATACTTAACACCATTATGTCCCTGGCACGGCATTAGACTCTGGGGGAAGCTACAGAGAACTTAGAGGGGTAGGCTCTGCCCCCAAGGGGGACATAAAGGAAACAATTACAGCTAATTGTTTTTAACTCTGAACAGTGTTAATGCTAGCATACTGTCATCTTGGTCACCAGGGGAGAAGGGACTGTGGATACCTCTTGAAGACCACGTGGCCACATGGCCACTCCAACCCTTTCTGAGCGTTCCTTGCTCCTTGTCTTCCCATGGCTTCTTCTCACCTGGCAGTGAGACTTGGGGGACAGAACTCAAGTCCGTCTGGCCAGCTGATGCCCTCTGATGGTCTGTGATTTCACGAATCACAGATCCGTTTCTTTAACTCTATGGATTGCCAGCGAGTGCTTCTTCTCACTCACGGCAGAGAACGCTTGATACATGGGATTGATTCCTAGTTTGAAGATGTAACTCTGCACCAACATTTCCTGAGAGACCGCTTGCCTATATCTTCCTGATAAAACCCCGACCGGCTAGTGTGCCGATCGTCCCTATCCCATTCGACACCAGGAAGCTGGTCCTTCATCCCCTGAACAGATTCTCAGTAAATGTGCCTGACTACATGAGCATGTCGTGGTTGGAATGTGCATGGTTCTTACCTTCAGCCGACAGTGTTGTGTGTGGAAGCTGCTGGCTGGAGATGGAGGCAAGAAGACGTTCTTGAGGGGACCCGTATTTGTTTGCTAGGAGTTATATACGGTTTTGGACCATGGCCAGAGACTCGATTCACTCTACAGTTGCTTATATTAAGTATCTGTGTGCCTAGTATATATTGGGGATCCCAGGGAATCCCATAAAGCAGGGCTTTCCAATTTGTTTGCACACCTGAATCATCCTAGGATTCTTGTTGAATTAAATATTTAATAAATCCCTCTGGCGGATTTGCTACCTGCTCAATGGTTTGTTGTCCTGGATGAAAGACACACTCCCTGGGTTGGCCTGGGTGTGTCCTAGCCTTAAGCTTTGCCCCCCCCCCCCCCCCGAATCATATGTGTCAAACTAGCACAAACTTCTAGCTCAGTTCCGAGTCTCCTCAGCCTGGGAAGGAACCACGTGGCTTGTGAGAAACCCATTCTCCCTGCCTCTTAATTTTAATGGGAAGGCATGCGTATTCCATTTGGGAATCTCCAGTTAATTTTTAAAAGAGAGTTCTTGCCAGACACATAAGAGCCATTTGTAGAATTATATATATATATATATATAAATTCCGATAGCGGTTTTGCTACCTGCCTCAATGGTTTGTTCCCAAATGAAGGACACTCACCAGCCTTGATTTTTTTGATATGCCTTAAACAGCGCAAGAGTTGGGCCACTTCCTAACCTCTGCAAGGTTTATCCAGCTCTGCCAATAATCCTGAGTTATTAGTTACTAAACTCTTCACCTTGGCTGCTCTGGACCCAGTTTGGGCAGCCCTCTTGGGCTGAGCTCTCCCGGTTCCTTCACATGGTGACTCTGCCTCCCTGTCCTCCACTCTTCTCAGGCATGGAGTCTCTCCTGGCATGGTGGATCCATCCCCCTTTCCTCCTCCAACTCCTCTTTCTCTTCCCCCCTTCCTCCTCTTCCTCCTCCTCCTCCTCCTCCTCTTCTTCCTCCTCTTCCTCCTTTTCCTCTCTCCCAGTCCCAATCCTGGGAAATTCCAAAAACCTGCCTCTGTCTTTCCCAGCTATTGGAAGTTGACATTTTTTACTTACTAATCAGAACCAACTGAGGACAGGTTCTACATGCAGAGGCTACAGGCAGTTTTGGTGACCCAAATTGACATTTGAATACAAGCAGCGTTAGGCCAAACCCACTCTAGATTCTCTTAAAAATCTTAGACCATCACTCTGCATTACGGAACAGTGGAATCTCTGGGATAAATGTCCGGGTCCTTGTTCTAAGGAGTGTGCAAGAGAGTTGCAGATAACACACCTAAGCCTTCTGTAGTGATACACAAGGGCCAGCAGTGTAGGAAGCCTGAGGGGCAGGCTGAAGGGTTCAGAACTATTTCTGTCCTGATGTTTTCTTTATTTCACTTCCTGTGGATGGGGAGTAGCAGCAGCTAGCTAAAGGGACTGGGAACCAGGTCAGCTTTGGTAGGTGTGGGAGAGAAAGGAGGACTCTTCCTTTGACCTTGAACTCGGGCAGCAATGCCTGCACGATCCTCTGGAATCGCTGATGGGATGGATTTGTGTTTCGAGAACTTGACCCTGCGTTACCATTAAGTGGAAGCGCATGTTTTGAATATAGAGAAGTAGCTGGTTGTCCGCCGACTGTTTGTCTTTCTCTTGTGGGCTGAATATGATGAGGGGAGAAGATCCCTGAAGATAGAAGCTCTCAGCTTCGCTTCTTGTTCTTTGCCCGGTGCCTTCGTAACAGCCATGCCGAATATCCCTGTGTGTGCAGATCAACACACAAATGAGCCATTTTATGTGGGCAATTTAATACCCCAGGGTCTTGTGGAGCAGTGAGGTATTGCTTCGCCTAGGGTGGGTGAAGGTACTTGACCTCAGCCCTTCCTGGCTGCTCTAGGTGCTAACAAACCAAGGCCAGCTGTCGGAGCAGTTTCCTCTTCCCTGGCAGTCACCACCCAGACAGAGCACGTGGCCCATGTTTGGTAGTTGCTGTTTCTGATCGATTTATTTTTATTGAGTCTATTCTATGCTGTCTCCAAGGTGGTGACAGAAATACGTAGTAAACCTTTCATGAACTACAGCCCAAGCAAGCCCTTCTTCTCTTTCACAGTGTGCCACGCCGAGCTGAACGCCATCATGAACAAGAATTCGGCTGACGTGAAGGGCTGCAGTATGTACGTTGCCTTGTTCCCGTGTAACGAATGTGCTAAACTCATCATCCAGGCAGGTAGGAGGCGGGCCTTCGCATTTGTTACCTCTGCATTGGAGCCTGCGGAGCTGCAGCTCCCGTGCAGGTGTGTGTGATCTTACATTGAGATTGTTTAGGTCTAAATTAATTGCACTATCAACTTTGCAAGATATTTCTCGTGTTTTGCTTTTGAGTGGTGCCAGGTATTCCAGGACTAATTGCATCCTCTGTGATTCTTAGCGTGTTTTTAATTTAGTTTGCCACTTCTTAAAACTGCAAGCTGCCAAAAAAACAACACAGGCATTGAATATAATTACCGTCAATTTACCGTTCTCTGACATATTGTGCATAGATTAGGGGGAGGGAGGGGGGTGAACTTCTGTCAGAAACAAGGTCAGCTGGGAGTCTGTATATCAAATTTTAATTTGTATCTAATACGTGGTAGATACGTGAGGATCTAAGCATATCTTTGCATATAAATAACATGAAGCGCAAACGTGATTCTGAGCTTCTCTTTGTATGTTACAGCTGCCGTAACCTACCATGCTGTAGTCTGTCTGTGGCACCTGTTTTTGAACTGTCACATCTAAGAATGAGCTGTGCTTTATCTCCATAAAGCTCTCGGTGTGAGATTTAAAGACTTAGCCTGTTTAGCCAGATGTATGGGTTAAAGGGACTGTTTATCACGAGCCCCTGGGTGTCGGATCAGAAGTGGGCTGCTAGTGGACCACAGGCACCGTTAAGAACACTATGGGCGTCTGTGCAGCTGCTGCCGTTAACCTGTCCTTTTGGGGTGCTTCCTTTGCTGGTTACAGGTAGAGAGGTTGACAGCGGAGGCAGGCACGCACTGAGTAGTGTGTGACCTATGTGGTCAGCCGGCTCATCCCTTCTGAAGGGAGTACAGAGTGGGCTTCAGGATAAGATTCCTGGTTCTCAGGCTCCTGCTACCTAGAGAGATCATACAGCAGATACGCCCTTCATGGAGCTGCGCTAAAGTGATGGTGGAGCCTTTCTTGTAGGTTTAGTGCTACTGATCTCTGGATTAGCCAGCACCCTCCGCTCCCCACATTAGCCTCTTGAGTTGAGTAGTTGCTTTGTGAATAAAGAATACTTCCTTACCTGAAGTAAAGAAAACTTGTTAATTGGATCAAGGCTTGACTGTTTGACATGTCTTCCTTTTGCATTTGTATTTTAAAAAAAAAATCCATAAAGACTGGAAGGTGGCTTTATACAGTCCCCTCTGCTGTCCTGGGAAAACGCAGATGAGTATTTTAGTGACTGGACATTGTCTTGAAGCTCATTGGAAAAGGGTAATTAATCATAGGCACGGGGCTCTGTCTCTCTGCCTGTCTTCTGCGGTTTCTGTCTGTGCTTATCGCCCACGGTTACCTTTTCAGGTATAAAAGAGGTTATTTTCATGTCGGATAAATACCACGACAGTGAGGAGACAACGGCCGCCAGGCTCCTGTTTAAATTGGCTGGGGTTACGTTCAGGTAGGTCAGGGGACCTGGTGTAGAAATGCATGTAGCCCAGCCTGAAGTTTAGCGTCTCCCATGAGGTTTGCCTCCCACACGGGGCAATGTCTTTGGAAATGTGATGGCACAAGCCTCTGAAGATTATTTTAGGTACGGAGTAATGCCAGAAGTATCTGGAGACAGCCTGTTTAATGATTATATTTTAATATTAGTGACTTTCCGTGGCTTAGACTAATTATGCAAGTAGCAAGAAATTTAAAAATTTACCACTTTTGGGCTGGCACTGCTGAGCCTTTATGAATTTTGAATACATAAGGACTCTAGCAGGGAGAGTTTAAGATAAAAGCAGCCCGCCAGGGTGAGACACCAGGAATTCTTTTCTGAGCAACATTTTGAATTAAGAGCAGAAGCCCTTCCGATTGCTACGATTGTCTTTGCAGAGTAGAGATTATGTTTTACTCGCAAGCCTTGCCATCTTTGATGAGTGGCCAGAGATCGTTTTTAGAATGGGAAACTTTGCAAATCGTCACTTGTTTCTGGCCAGCAGTGACAAGACTTGTGCAGTGGGCGACTTACCCCCTTCCTTGTCCTCTTAGAGACAGGAGATATTTTGTTTTTGTTTTTCTGAGACAGGGTCTCTGAATGAACAGGCTTTCCCTGAGCTTGCTATGTAGCCTCCTGCCTCAGTTTCCCAATGACGGCACCCGCCATGCTCAGCTAGAAACAGGATTTTTGTGTGATACATGTCCTGAATTATCGTGCCTTGTGTGCCCTGGTTTGCTTTCTGTTTCTTTGATAAAACACTGACTGAAACTGACTCGGAGAGGAAAGGCTTTCTTTGACTTTTGGGGTACAGTCTCACATTGTGGAAGCCAGAGCGGGAAGTCAAGGGAAAAACAGGCAGGAACTGAAGCAGAGACCATGGAGGATGCTGCTTGACATGTTCTTTTGTTTCCTTGTTTTAGAAAGTCCCCAAGTGTCTTCCATTATTGTAGACATGTTGAAGACAGAGATTTAGAGAACTCATTATATGCATTTGTAGAACTTGATTTTAGAAAATCTGCCCTCATTTCAGCGAGTTGTCTTTCTGTGTATCCGGTGCAAGAGAAAATCTACTGTGTTTGCTTTAGAGCAACTCAAGTTGGCTGCAGGAATTTCCTAGAAAATAAGATAAATACGATGTGGAAACTATAATCGGGTATCGTGTTGTGCTGCTAACTTGTTAGGAATCCTTTGACTCCCGGATAATTCATGAACTCCGATAGTTGAAGCACGCACAAGCCAGGCCGCCCCATGCCTCGTTCTTGTCTCGGTCTCTTCTGCTCCGTGTTCTGCTCGGTATGGTGCGCTCTAATTGGCTCCTATAGAGATAAAATACCAAGAGAATCCCAGGGCATTTTTTTTCCTTCTGCATTGGAAATACAGTTTAAGCTGAAATAAACAAATTGCTCTAACTACTCATTGGATAATTCAATTCCTTTACATATTTTGTTTTTCACCTTTAGAAAATTCACACCGAAGTACAGCAAGATTGTCATTGACTTTGATTCGATTAATAACCAACCGAGTCAGAAGCCTTAATGAGTTTCATCTTGTTAAAGCCCCAGAAGAAGATAACACACACACACACACACACACACACACACACACACACACACACCACACACAAGGGCTCCCCAAGCCTTTCATCTTGAAATCCCACGTAACTTTTTAATAGTACAGCACACAGACATCTAAAGAATATGAAACTTTAAATCTTCCCTACCTTCAAGTGGATCTACATGTCTCAGCTGTTGATGTAGTTTGGAAACTGAGGGACGGTCCACGGGAACTGGAGTGAAGGTCTCTCCACCTCCTCAGAGCCTGTCTGCCTGGAATGAAGATGGTTGTACCAGAGAGAGTCAGCTCTGTCATCCAATGAATTTCGACAGCCGCTCCTTGCTGCCACACGGGCTAGAAGGACATACAAATAATTGTTTCTCGTTCTTAGCAGGGATGAGCAGGCACACTGATGTGAACATCTGGCCCAAATGAAGCATACCCTATCACGCCCTTGGAAAAACAAATAGGACCAAACGAAGCTAGCGTGAACCTATCTGCTACAGGGGACCTCTCACCTGGTCACAGGTGACCTCAACCTGTGCCCTCCTGGTTGAAGAGGGCACGTGTCCTGGTACATGATCCCCTCAGTACATTGTCCCCTCAGTTCCTACTTTCCTGCCTCACAAAGAACAGTAGCACACTATCCCCCTGGGGGGTAGAGGACCCCTGCCGTTCCAGCTTCTTATCCTTGGTTTGTTGGCCACATAGCACTGTAAAATTTATCCGAGGAATAAGTAGTTCCTAGAGGAGACAGCTTATCACTCCCCCTAGACCAGGCACTGAGCAGTGACAGCTGGAGCTGTATGGATGGGTGGTGTGGGACGTCCCCCATCCCGTGTCTCCTACTGTGTGGACACATGTCACTCCTGTTATACACACCAGCGTGGTTCATTTCCAAGGGTGCCCTACAATCAGGGAGCACATTAATTCCTGTCCTATAAGAGGATTGTGGGAAACTCTGGGTACCTGGAGGTGGTCCATGCCAGACCTGCTGGGATGCCCCTCATTTGTGCCTTCAGCCACACAGGCAGCATCCTCCTAGTGCCCCGTTGTGGGGTGCCCCACTGTGTACTGTTTTTAATTTCATGTAACTTCTAGCAAACAAGCTCAATGTCTTTGATAGAATAGTTTCTTTATCTTAAAGACTGTTCCCATTTTTATGGTGCTTGTTTTTTTCATGGGTTTTTATTTGGTCTCTGAGGTTTTTTTTTTTTTTTTTACATTCTGGAGCATTTTTTTTTCTTTTGTAATTTGGATCTTTGCCAGTATTATTAAAATTTTATTAAACTCTACCAGCACCAAAATGTGTTCATTTTTATATTATTATATATGCTCAGTTCTGCTTGTGTTATTTCTGTATTGTCTCCAAAAGTATATTACACAGGTTTGTGCTCAGAAAGTACAGGAAGTATAAATACCCTGTTCTCTCCAGGATTGGGGGTTGGGGTTTTCATTGTAGTCTTTTAAAATTGGGGTTTGGTGTGGGGGGGGGGTCACATGTAGGGGTCAGAGTACAACTTCCTAGCTGTTCTCTCCTTTCACCCTGTCATGAAGCAGGCGATTCTCCTGTGAGTTCTCTCTGTCCACCTTGCTCTGAAGGAGACGTTTCTCCTACATTCGCCCCTGTTCTGCAGACTCACGTATTCTGTTACATCTGGCTTTTGGATGAGTTTCAGGGATTGAACTCAGCCTTGAGCAGCAAGTGTTTTTACCAACTGAGCCATTTCCCTGTCCTGTGCTGCTCCTTTGAGGCCAGATTTCAGTGATGGGGAAAAAGCCCTGTTGCCACCCAGATTGCATGCCTGTTCTAGTTTGTCCATAGGAATGACAGGTCTCTCTGATTGGTCTGAGAGGTCTGACATTTTTTTTCTTTTTTTCCTCCTCTATTTCTTTTCTCCAAACCACTTGCTCCAAAGTAGGACAAAAGTAGTGACATAGAAGAAAGAATTCAGAAAAGAGACAAAGATTGTAATTGTTATTACATATTAGAAGTTAGTTGTAGGCCTCGTTTGCACAGGGTAATCTTTGTGCGGTGTTTGCAGATAGGACTAGGGGCTAGTCAGCCATTAGTACAGTTAGTTAATTTTGATACTGTGTTACATTTTGGTCTCAGCTTGTAGGGTTGAGTAGTGAAAGACCACATTTTTTTTTTCCTCTTTTGGAGAGAAGATAGTGACAGGCCACGGTTGTTTGTGAGGTGCTGATATCGTGGATGTAAGGGCAAGAGCATGCATCTCTGAACCCTTGCTGAGCCTGGATTCCTGGTGACTGGATTGTAGGTAATTATGTCATCGTTTCTCCCTTCGCTCCAAGAGGAGCGGAATTGTCCTGTCCAGAGGATTCTGCGGATATCAAGGCTCCAGATAATAGAGGGCTGCTTTGAACTGGTTCCTTTGGGGAAAGCATCCCAGAAGGAGGGTGTTCTGAGCACTCTCTCTGCCTCGCAGACATTTCTGGATAATTGTGGTGAAGGGAGACTGTATCTGAGAGCCGCTGTGGCCGCCTGTCATGGCTAATAAACGGCAATGAGGAAACCATCTCTCACTGAACTGCTAGCAGAGCTACATTAGGAGGGGAAAGGTAGAGAGAAACAATAGCTGTGTGCCTGACATTTTATACATCCCCTCCCCCACTTTTGCACATACCCTTAAAGACTGAGACCTAGCAATGAAAATGATGTAACTTATTAGCCACGTTTCCTAATTGCACACGGAGCAATATAAGACAAGCAAAACCACAGAAAAATCTCATTAATAATAATAATAAAACCTCCAGAGGCCAGTGATCTGAAGTTCTTATGTGCCAGGGATAACTGTCTCCCAATGTCTATATCTACCTAGAGGATTAAAAATATTTTGGATGATGCCAAATGCAGAGGCAGATCTATAGTCCCAACACTTGAGAGGTGGAGATAGCAGTATGACAAGTTCAGGTCCACCCTAAGCTACATAGGGAGGCTTAAAAGCTTTCTGGTGGCACATGCGTGCCTTTAATCCCCAAACTTGGGAGGGAAGTAGAGGTAGGCACATTTCTGGTCTTCAGAGTGAGTTCCAATACCATCAGGGCTGCACAGAGAAACCCTGTCTAAGGGGAGTGGAGTTGGGGGTGGGGGATGATAAATCCTTATAAAAGAGTCTGAGGGATTCATGGAAAAGGATTTTCTTGTTTTTAGTGCTAGACAAGTTTTATTATTTGTAGTTGATGTTTTTAAAAAATAGGCCGCCAGGCAGTGGTGGCACATGCCTTTAATCCCAGCACTTGGGAGGCAGAGGCAGGTGGATTTCTGAGTTCGAGGCCAGCCTGGTCTACAGAGTGAGTTCCAGGACAGCCAGGGCTACACAGAGAAACCCTGTCTCCAAAAACCAGCCAAACAAACCAAAAACAAACAAACAAACACAAACAGAAAAACCACCAAAACAGTAAGACCGCTCTAAAAAGGGTAGTTTTCTAAGTAATTAGTAGGACAGCCTGCCTCAGGCTCAGTGGAAGAACTGAACTCAAGTGAAGAGCACTGTGCAAACCCACATCGTTTGGCAGCTGCAGTGATTAGCTGTGTGGGTGACTAGCTGCAGAGGTATGGGCAAAAATATCCCCAGGCCCAGGACTTGGGGCCTGATGACATTTACAGGAAAAGATATCACATTGGCCTACACGAGAGGTGCTCTAGGATTCTAGCTAGTGCTCTTTCAGGTAGCTGAATCTCCAAGCGTTTACCTTGTGCTGACCATGCTAGTGGCCAGATACCAGACTGAGACTGATGAAGCCCTCCCTTTTTGACCAGACTATCAAAATGAATGATGGGCATCAGGCTCCTGAGCCATGACACACACATGACCTGCACTTGATATTGTCTGCAGTTGATACTGCTATCCCTCAGAGCCAGCGTCACTTCGTAGAAGCTTAGTACTTATGAAGGTCAAAAACTTAAAAGCTCTTGTCTTTGACTAAATATGACTATTTGAGTTAAATATTTCCCTAGAAAATTGGGAAGGAGTTCCTTTGTTGGTCGAGGAAAAAGGCATCTGCTCATGACTGAGGGAATATCTTGGGGCTTCACTGCTGTGAAGAGACACCATGACCATGACAACTCTTACAAAGGAAAACATTTAACTGGGGCTGGCTTACAGTTCAGAGGTTTAGTTCATTATCATGGTGGGAAGCATGGCAGACATGATGCTGAAGAAAGAGCTGAGAGTTCTACATCTTGATCTGAAGACAGCAAAAGGAGACTGCCACACTGGGCGTGGCTTGAACATAGGAGACTTCTAGGCTAGCCCCCACGGTGACACGCTTCCTCCATCTAGGCCACACCTCCTATTAGTGCCACTCCCTATTGGCCAAGTATTCAGACACATGAGTCTATGGGGGCTACTTCTTCTATTCAAACCTCAACAAGGAGGGAATTACTTTGTGAAGCCCAAGGAGCTCCTGCCTTACATAAAATCATTGGCTTTACTTTTTTGCTCATTGGCTGCCAAATCTCCACTCTTGAGCACTGTGTTCCATCTTAACCCAGGTCCACATCTTGCCTGCTGTTGTTCCTTCTACTTGCAGAACAACTATAACACAACCCCACTGGAATATGAGAAGCATAGAGCTTGTCATCTTCACCATCTTTGAGCTCAGTTGTGCCGACCTCTATTCTCCTGGGCAGCCAGTGCTTCGTCCACTTCCAGAGTGAAATGAGTGGTTTCCAAGCTGCAACTCCACATCCCTTAGGAACTCCCTCTAACTCCCCCCAGGTCCCTGGTAACCACGATCATTTCTGTATGAGCTGACTACTCCAGACACCACCCATTATGTCAATGGAATTACAGATGTTTCTTGTGATTTGCTGTTTTACTTAGCATAATGCCTTCAGGATCGTCTTCACTGTAGCCTGGGTTGGAATGCTCTCTCTTCTCCAGGCTGAAGAACATCCCGTTGCTAACATGACACACTTTGTTTCTGGATTCACACACCAAAATAGACACTTGGGGTTGTTGCTTTTTTTAGCTGCTATTCTCTTGTGTTCCCTTTTACCTGAACTACCTCCCTGAGCCCCGAGCACCTGTGCTCACCCTCCCTCCCTCCCTCCCTCCCTCCCTCCCTCCCTCCCTCCCCCTGTCCTTTATTCCCCCCACCTCTGTAATCTTTGCTAAAGACTATCTTTAAGCCCGCAGTTTTTCCTTATGTTTTGAGACAGGGTTTCACGTGGAAATTGCTCTGTACCTCAGGCTGGCTTCCAACTCCAAATCCTGCTGCCACAGATTCCCAGTCACTAGGATTATAGAGATGTACCACCACACCTGGTTCTTTGTATCTGTGTGTGTTTTGTGGGGTCTACATGTGTGAGCACATGTATGCAGTCATGGTTGCCTGTGCATGTGTGTGGAAGCCAAAAGCAGTGTTACATATCTTCCTTTACCACTCTGCACCTTATTCTTTGTGTGAGGAGCTCTTGCTGAAGCCAGAGCTCAGCCATTTCAGCTAGATTAGCTGGCCAGTGAGCCTCCTAGATTCCCCCTGTGTCCACGACTCTGCCCCTGCCAGGGGTTACAGGCATGTTTCACCACACCTAGATTTTTAGAGTTGGTTACAGACTCGGGTCCTCATGCTCACATTGAAGATATTTTCTTCTTTTTCTTTTTCCTTTTTTAAAGGTTTTTCGAGACAGGGTTTCTCTGTGTAGTTCTGGCTGTCCTGGAACTCACTCTTGTAGACCAGGCTGGCCTCGAACTCAGAAATCCGCCTGCCTCTGCCTCCCAAGTGCTGGGATTAAAGGTGTGCGCCACCATTGCCCGGCCTTAAATTTTTTCTTTTTCCTTTTCTTTTTCTCTTTTTAGAAGATATTTTCTTCACTAGCCTTCTCCCTGAGCCACGCTTGGCCCTTAAGCCAGCATTCCTTAGACACTCAGTGCCGGTCCTTTGAGCATGCGCACATCTCTGTACAGTTTTCGGGACTGACCCAGGGCCGTGCCTTCTTTATACATTCCTCCAGGCTCCCGTTCTAGCTGACCCTTTCTTTCCTCTTTGAAACCCTGCCACAGAGAGTTCCACCAGCCGTCTTCCTGGAAAAGGACCCCTACTTGGGTTTATGCCATCCCTTCCACTGTCTGGAAATGTTATTAAGACATTTCATTTCCTGTGTCTCTTCCTGCTCTAACCAGATGAAGAGGCTACTAGAAGCCTTGCCATATCCAACTGCCTCTCCTTAACACATACTGCACAGTT